ATAATGACTGTACATTTGTTAAGCTGTACACCGAGGTTATGATTGCCGAAAACTCAAATCAAGTACAATTTAACATTAAAACCAAAGTATATTAGTGTTCAATTGTCTTTTCAGGTTCATCAAGGCTAGACACTCAGAAAACAGCTGCTCTTATCAATGAGGTCATTCTACTACAGAAGGTACCTTCCCAACAGTCATCACTTCATATTACACTTTATATCACATCTAGTAGTTCTTCAAATACATTGCTTTTGTATCAGAATTGATCACAAATGGGGCAAAGGGTATAGTAAGAAAAAAAGGGAGAGGCTGGGCGCAGTGGCTCATGGCTATAATCCCAGCACTTTGGGAGGCTGAGGCAAGTGGATTACCTGAGTTTAGGAGTTCGAAACTAGCCTGGTCAACATGGTGAAACCCTGACTCTACTAAAAATACAAAAATTAGCTGGGCATGGTGGCAGGAACCTGTAATCCCAGCTACTCAGGGAGGCTGAGGTAGGAGAATCACTTGAACCTGGGAGGCAGAGGTTACAGTGAGCTGAGATTGCTCCACTGCACTTCAGCCTGGGCAAATAGAGACTCTTTCTTAAAAAAAAAAAAAAAAAAAAAGAAGAAGAAAAAGAAGAAAACGGACAGAAATGCAGTAAAATTGTTTTTTGATACAGAACAGAACTCAAATATACAAAACAAAATAGAATGTTACCTTCCTCTATTCCAGCCACTAGCGACAGTAGGTTATCAACTTAACTGGTTTTATATTTTGGAAAACCAAATCTGTCTTTTCAAAACTTTTAAGGTATGACATACATACAAAAAAGTGTACAAATCACAAATGTATTGCTGGATAAATTTTCATAAGATGTAAGATAAATTTTCACCCAGATTAAGAAAGAGAATATTTCCAACACAGCAAAATCATTTATTATGTAGTCTCCCAGTCACTACTACAGAAACCACTTTCCAATCCAGTTTCTCCTGTTTTGGAATGTTACATAAAATAAAACATGCAGAATAAACTCTTATGACTGACTTATTTAATACTATGTTTGTTAAGTTTATCCACATTGTTACACCTGGCAGTAACCTATTTATTCTCATTGCTGTATTTTGTAAGCAATTAATTTATTAACTTTACTGTTGGACATCTGGTTTGTTGCCAGTTTGAAGCTCTTACAAATAATGCTGCTTATAAACTTTCTCATACACATCAATATGACATGCTAATATGGTTTTTTTAAATAACATTAGATTCTCTAACCAAATATTCTTAAACTTTTTTTTTTTTTTGAGACAGGATCTCCCTCTGTTGCCCAGGCTTGAGCACAGTGGCACAAAACACGGTTCACTGCAGCCTCAACTTCTTGGGCTCAAGCAATCCTCCTGCCTCAGCCTCCCAACTAAGTGGGACTACAGGCATGCACCATCATGTGTGACTAATTTTTAAAATTTTTTGTAGAGACAGGGTCTCCTTTGTTGCCCAGGCTGGTCTCAAACTCCTGGGCTCATGTGATCCTCCCACCTCAGACTCCCAAAGTGTGAGATTAGAGGCATAAGCCACTGTATTCAGCCTTAAACTTTTAATAAGTTATGTTTTTATTAGATTGAAAGTAAGCAAGTATAACTATTTACATTTCTAGTTCGATTACTTTAATCCAAAGACTCAGTGGGTCCACTAAATCAGATGTGAATATAAAATTGCTTTTTCAACTAACTTTAGATAACTACATAAGAACAACAGCTATATCTGTGACTTTGTTACCAACAAAAATCACAGATAATTTTATATAATATTACAGCTAGCTGTTACAGGTATTGCAAAATATCATTCATAACACTCATCGTTACTTTGAAATTATAGCAATGAAAGCCCCACCACTAGCTTTTGATATTTAATGACCTACTAAAAAAAGTCTCTATTACTGTATCACAAATTTGGTTTTTAATAATTTGATAATTATTATCAAATGTAAGTGTACTTAGTTCTGAGCATTTTATTTATAGGTTTAAAAATGTTATTCTGAGAGAGATCCATAAGCTTCACCAGACTGCTAAAGGGATCCACGGTACAAAAAAAAGGTTAAAAATCTATGATTTATTTAACTAAGATGTAGGTGTAACACAGAAGGCATAGGGGATAATTTTCAAGAGCCATGTAAGGGGTTTAACATATTGAGGAAAAGAAGAGGCTTTAAATTACTAATCAAAATAAGGCCAATCCTAACTTGGGAAAGTGGGATATGGAAATACAGAAAGAAGGATTTGTATAAACTAGGGGAGGCTGACTGAGGGAACAGAAAGATCAATCTAATGGAATTGAAGAAAAAGGAGAGGAATGAACCTGTACAAGGTCTACGCAGGTCCTGTGCTCTCAAAAAGAGAAAAACAATCTAAGCCCCCATGAGGAATCAAGCAGCCAGATAACTTAAGGAAGTAAGATTTACCGTTAGGCATTTAAGGGACATCTGAATACATCTAGTCTGATTTTAAGGACAATTGTGTTATAAAACATATCTCCCTACCTGCTTGCTATTGATAAAATTATTTTATGAGGGATAAGAAGCCTCTGTTTCATATTTACACAAACAGATAGTATTAAATGAAAATGTTTGGTTTTGTTTAGATTTTTCCACAGTGTACTGATTCATTGAAGACTTCCATCACCTGTCATGTTGACCTCAACTCTTGTCACTATCAATGACTTCAATCTTCATATACATCTGTATTTTTTAAATTCTGCATGTAAGAATCACTTGAACTTCTAAACAATATTGAGGTCCACATCACACCCACAAAGATAAGTTAATTATCTAAGATGGGGCCCATACAGTGGTACTGAAGAGCTCTCTAAGAAATTTTAATGTACAGCAAGGATTGAGAGCTTCTGATCTAAACCACAAATCCAAAGTCTATCCTAAAAGTTTCCTTGCTCTCAACTCCAATAACTTGCACTAGCTCTCTATTCTCACTGTTACACACTGAACTTCACTCAAAACCGTTGCATCTTGGAAATCCCACACTCTAAAATACCGATTGCCTATCGTTCTGCCACACTAAAGCTTTTCCCATACCATATGGTGTATTAATTTAGTAATTCTCTGGGTCAGCACTTAACAATATCCTCATCTCCCTGGGTCCACTACTCCTCTTAAAATCTAAAATCGATACAATAAACTGCTTTCCCAGGCCCCAAAGTAATAAAGCACACATTCCTACTGACTGGTGCCCAGCTGATGGCATAACCATACAGAAAATTCTTTTAAGTATTTTCAAAACACAGAATTTAAAATTCCTAACAGGGTTGAGCGTGGTGGCTGACACCTGTAATCCCAGCACTTTGGGAGGCCAAAGCGGATAGATCACTTCAGGCCAGGAGTTTGAGACCAGCCTGGCCAAACATGGAAAAACCCTGTCTTTACTAAAAATACAAAAATTGGTGGGGTGCAGTGGCAGTGTCTCATGCCTGTAATCCCAGCACTTTGGGAGGCCAGGTGGGCAGATTACTTGAGGTCAGGAGTTCGAGATCAGCCTGGCAAACATGTTGAAACTCTGTGTCTACTAAAAATACAAAAATATACTGGCGGGCACCTGTAATCCCAGTTACTTGGGAGGCTGAGGCAAGAGAATCATTTGAACCTGGGAGGTGGAGGTTGCAATGAGCCGAGATCATGCCACTGCATTTCAGACTGGGCAACAAAAGTGAAACTCCATGAAAAGAAAAGAAAAGAAAAAATTCCCAATGGGATAGATCCTTGGCAGAGTGGTGGAGGAGAGAGGGGAGATAAAGAAAAAAGTCATCCCTTTTCCTATCCCTGTATTTCTTTGTCAGATTTACCTACAGGTAAACTACAGAATAACCTTATCAAGTAAAAAATATAAATAAAAACATTGGATTTTGATTAAAAACATACAATCTACGACTTAACCTGGAAAGAAATCACATATAGTAATAATTAAGTCTGGCCATCCTAAAGTATAGTGGGCATCTTTATTTTTTCCACCTTAAATCATTTTAAATCAACGCCAACCTGGGCTGTAATCCAGGACAACAACAAACCTAAAGATGATACCACCCATCTGACTGGGCTATAGTCTTAAATGATATGTAAGTAAAAAATAACTAATGTAGAAATAAATATTTGTGGCTTTTGAAGGTACATAATGAATCTATATTTATATACCACCACCATAACCTCAGTCCCTTGGTGCTTAGAATGAGTCTGTGCAAAAGTTTAAGTTAGCTTCTTGATCTTCCCCAAACGTTCCTTTAGACCTCTATAGGGGATAATGGGGGGGTCAGTACACATATTCATTCAAATAAATATTAAGCTTCTATTACCTGACAAGTACTAGATGTAACACTGGAAATAGTAAACAAAACAGCAAGCTCTTTGGGCTTAGAAAACACTGGGCTCAAAATTCTGAATTCCCAGAGCAACAAAGAGACAAGAAGTAGGACAGCACACCAGAAGCTGCCTGCCTGTCTGCCCCAGAGCCTCCAGGCATTCTTACTCACCAGCCAAACTGCCTGATCACAGAACAGCACACCAGCAGGAATCCTAACTAGGGATATTAACAAGTTTCCACTATAGGAAGAGAGTTCTGCTCTCTTAAAATGAAAGCCTATTTTTAGAATTTCATATATTCAATTTGCAACATGTTAAGGAATATAGAAAAAAAACAGTTAACAGCCAATAGCAGGAACAAGTACTCAAATACTTCTTTATTAACTCATGGTATAATCTTTATAAAATCTGTAATTTTGTTCACAAATTAAATTCAATATAAATCCTTCAGTTTAGAAATTTAAACAAGAAATACAAATAATAAGTTTTCTCCTTAAATGTCTTTATTTTCGAACTTATAAAAGATAAGCTTGACCTCTTTTGCAATCTACACTGGTAAATTTCTGACAATGAAATTTGTTAACAGGCCTAGCATCAGTGTATCAAATGAACTTAGACACTAGGCTTTTGAATCGTTTAATATGTAGGAGTAACTTACACTGGGATGACTTCGAGGAGATGCTCGTTCTCTCGGAAGTCTTTCATATTCATATCGTCCCTCAGACCACATTTCATCTCTTCTGTAAGCCACTAAAGAAAAAAAGAAACCAAAGATTTATGGTTTTCATGCTACTAGAAAGTAATAGAAAAGGAAGGAATAAATGATTACTTTCCAACGCAAATATTTTCTAGAGATCTTAAGGGAAAAAAATGTGACTCAAAGAAAAAATGTTTCTTCCCAACAATTTTGAGATTTTCTTAAAAAAAAAAAAAAAATACAGAAAGCCCTATATTCCTTCTTAGGCAAGACTATTCAAAGCTTCAAATAGGGCTGGGCGCAGTGGCTCATGCCTGTAATCCCAGGGCTCTGGGAGGCCAAGGAGGGTGGATCACTTGAGTTCAGGAGTTCGAAATCAGCCTGTCCAACATGGCGAAACCCCGTCTTTAAAAAAAAAAAAAAATCTTCAAATAGATTGTTGCCACCAATTATGGGAGGAAAACCCTTAATACTCTGGACCACAAATACTTTTTTATTCTCCTATAGTAAAAAATAGAAACAACTCATTTTATATGAGTCGTTTAAATGGCTGATTAGCAAAGCTATTCCTATTTCCTGGTGAATAGTTTGTATAAATAACATTAGTTTTTTGCTTTTCTACAGTCTTCATATAATATATATGTTCTCTATGTTAAATAATGTGTTTTTAACTGAAAAAGTGTTAAATGAACAATCCTGCAAAAAAACACACAACTCCTGAAGGAAACCACTCCTGATTTTTTTAATCCTATGAATTAATTTCAATGCAAAGCCATCTTCACAAAATGTGAAACTAAAATAAAAGTTCTGTCACATTTTTCAGGTTTGGGATTCAGAGAAGGTAGGTGGAAGGGTGTATTCTTTTCATAAATGCTTCCTACTTTGAGAGCTGACACATTCTGCGTAGAGCATGAATAAAGTATTACAGAATCCAAGGGTATACAGCCACAAGAAGAGATGAAAATAGCGACTAAACAGACAAAAGACACGGCAAACAAGAAGATGAGAATAGGATACACAAGGAGACCATTTATATGAAATGGCAATACTATAGATCAGAAGTTGGCAAATTTTTCTGCAAAGGATTGGACAAATATTTTCAGCCTTGTAGGTCATAGATCTCTCTTACAACTACTCAAATCTCCAGCCATAGGCAATATACACAAATGTATGAGTGTGTAAATTGTATTTACAAAGACAGCTAGCTGTTTGCAGACAGTAGCCTGACAATTTCTGGAATGAATGACTAATGGTTAACAGGGAAGAACCAGGAAAAAGTGAAGTAATCGTGGAGCAGGTTCTAAGGCAATAACTGTGAACCATCCTTAGGTACACACAGAACCACCATGAGCAAGAAGTGAAAATGGTCCAGGTGGTAAGTTAGGGCCTTTCAGCACATAGAAAGTAGGCCACAGATATGTGAAGAAGGAACATATTTCAAAGAAGACTTAATGTCAAAAGATTTTTGATGGCTCCTTATAATGTAACACCAAGGGAAGGGGAAACAGATTGGTATTCCATTTTGGCAGTAAAGAACACCTACAGAATTCTAATGGTTCAGTTAGTTTAGGTTAAAGAAAAAAAAGGCTGGAAGAAGGGTACAATATTTTTTTGATGCTATTATAGCAAAGCAACCAATTTTCTCTGTAAAAACATATCTATAATATTTTCTAATACAAACAGACCCAATTAATGAATTAACTACCCAAAGATGCCTAGGAAATCTTACTTTAAATTAAAAATACACTTTTTCTCAAAACACACATTAAAGAGAAAAAAAATTAGCTCTTAACATTATGCATGAATAAAATTGAATTATCTGTCTCCAGTGAGACCTCATTTAATAATGTGTAATTCCAAGCAACCAGTCTTTTAGGTCCAAGAATTAATGGAAGCTTCAAAGGCAAGTAAATTGTCAACATTACTCCTCCTCCACCACCCTTATTGAATCCACTAAAGGTTTCAGTGTAAAGAATTTGATTTTATCCTTTTTAAGATACAGCACAGAGAAATAGTAACAGCAATGAATTAAAGTCCAATCAAAGGGGGGAAAACGTCAATAGCTATAACCAGAAGAAAAATGGACATATGAGCAAACAGCTCACAAAAAAATACAAATGGCTCTTCAAGTCTTTTCAAAATATGGTCAACCTCCTTCAAAATCAAGAAGATGAAAACTAAAACTATAATGGCATGCTAATTTTCATCCAAAAGCTCTGCAAACATCCAACTGCAGTGATGAAATTAAGGAAAGCAACATTTACATATGTTAATAAAGGAAGTATAATTGGTACAGATTGGGAAGAATTTGGCAACATTTAAAAAAATTTTTTAAATACACATATGCTTCGACCTGGTACTTCTACTTCTAGGTATACTTGTACACCTGCACAGCAAAGATTGAAAGGACCTTAAAATATCCATTAAGAGGGCACAAAGTAAATTGCTGAACATTCATACAAAGGAATATTTTGCAAACCATTTGAAAGAAAAGTAATCGCAGTAAAAATATGAAAAGACTGCCAAGATACACTGCTAAGCAAAGCACAGTAAAAAGGCCAGGTATGAATATATATGCTATGCCGACTACTCCTGGGGGTAACAAGAGAATTTAACAGCAATTGCCTCTGGGGAGAACCAGGTAGTTGGGCAGAGGATGAATATTTTACTACATAATGTATATATACTATTATGTATTACAAAAATGTGTAACTGTTTTTAAAGTTCCTGAAAAAAATCATTCAATAAGCATAACATGTCAAATGATGGTAAAAATGATGAATATAAATTAACATACTAAAGGAGAATGTAAATAAAAATAAGATTTTGTAATAAATGAGAAAAACAGTAAGAGTTCTAAAATACTATGTAGTTTAATACTGAAATACTGAAATTTACTGGTGTCTCACAAAAATGTAACAATAACTACTATACTAAATACTACTATACTATACTTACTTGAGTCCTTTTAGGAATCAAATTTAACGTTTTCAACAATTTCCTGTAAGGGGGGGAAATACAGAAATAAAGATTTGTGTCTGTATAAACCAACCAATATAGAAATAGTTAAACCTTCATTAACCATATAAATAGAACTGTCAAGCCAAAGGTCCCTTCAAACACACTCTCGAAAATAGAATTTTGGTTTTTGAGACAGTCTTGCTTTGTTGCCAGGCTGGAGTGCAGTGGCACAATCTCAACTCACTGCTACCTCTGACTCCCTGGTTCAAGCTATTCTCTTGCCTCAGCCTACTGAGTAGCTGGGATTACAGTCATGCGCCACCACGCTCAGCTAATTTTTTTATATTTAGTAGCGACAAGGTTTTACCCTGTTGGCCAGGATGGAAAAATAGAAGACATTATTTTAGCCACCAGAGGCCACCCAAGTTTCATAAGAACAAAATAATAAGAGACTTCTACTCCCAGAATTCTATTCTAGAATTTTGCCAGTTGAGAGGTAGGCAGATCATCTTATCTTTATCTCTGATAAGACTGTACTAGATATTTAAGGTTTGTAGTTGTTATTGTAATGTTTGTAGTTGTAAATGCTGGCTTTGAAATATCTCCGTAGTTTAATATAATGAAAATTACCATTTCCTACAGTAATTAGAAGACAGAATACATTAATATCACCTTAAATTCAAATGGCAACTTGTAGTTTTCTTTTTCTTTTCTTTTTTTTTCTTTAGACAGGGTCTCAGTCGCCCAGGCAGGAATGCAGTGGGTCAAACACACCTCACTGCAGCCTTGATCCCCTGGGCTCAAGCAATCCTCCCCACTCAGCCTCCTTAGTAGCTAGAACCACAGGCATACCACCACACCTGGCTAATTTTATTTTTTGCCAAGTTGTAGTCTTAGCATGTTGTCCCCAGGCTAGAACCTTGTAATTTTCAAAGGATTTAAAAATTGCTTATAAGTACAGCAAGCTTCCTGATTAGTGGCATATGTTGTTTATGACATTATCCAAGCTTAGGAAATTGACCAATCAGTTACATTTACACAAAGCTGTTCAGACTGCCAGTGAGTGATCATGCTACCTGTCACATCATCACTAAGTCTACTCACAGCCGTGGAGTCTCAGTGGTACTCCAGAAAAGTTATCTAAGCCAACAGGATATGCCAACTAAAGAATACAACAGAAAAAAACAGAAGGACCCTCTACAACACAATTAGGCAGAAAACAGAATTAAAACTCAGTTTGGAGAATACAAGCTTCATTTAGAAGTGTGCTAATAACGGGTACCTGATTATAAAAATCTCACTCTCTCATGCCATATTCAATGAAGACCGTATGTTTAATATACCAACATGGGATATCAAATTCCAGGAAGAAAATCAGCCTTTCTTAGAGCACTCCATTGGGCTGCCCAACCACTGTTACGTTAACTTCAACTAAGGGCTGAGAGGATATGGAGGACTTGCACTCTAAGCTAAAGTGTCATAGAAATTGAGAAAATAAAGTCAGAGGCAATATCCTTCTGTCAAACCATTAGCACTGTGAACCAAAGTCAAGGAAATGGATCTGTTTTTTCATTTTATCCAAACTGGTTATAGTAGCAACTTAGGCTACAGTAACTCTGCATTCCAATCTAGTCAGCTTCCATTATTAAATACATTCAGGATAGCTTCCTCCTCCCCAAACTCATTCCTTTACTTTTTATATTCATTCAACAACTGCTGAGAGCCAATTACGGTTACTGAAAAAGCCACATTTAATCTCAAACTTTAGATCAACATAGGTCTTTGCACTGGCAATTCCCTGTGCAAAATGTTCTCCAAATATCTGTGGAATTAACTTTCTCACCCTTCAATGTCACCTTCTTAATGTCACTCAACTACCAGATCCTGCAATCGTGCTATTTTTAATTAGCACTAATTAGTAATTAATTAGTAATTATGTACTAATTAGTAATTAATACTAATCTGTATTAAAGTACACTATATAGTATCTTAGATAATTAATGCTAATAATAAAAAGCAGGGATGTCTCTTTGCTCATTGATGAATATTAAGCTCCTATAACAATTTGCACCCTGTGCTCAGTATTCAGAGTGAATATTCTAATGTTTCTATTAGAAAATATTTGAAATTCCAGACAACTAAACACAAATTTTAGAAGATAGTTAAGGTCTTTGAAAAAAAATTAACTGATACCTACTAAAATGACCAAAACAGAGCAATGTATTTACTAAAATTCAGCATTGTTCAATGCTTAGGGAGAGATAAATGCAGGCAGTGGTAGTTAAGGAAGCCTTTTAAAAAGCTGGTCTTTTCCAGGTATCTGCAGGACTAACTTCCTTACCCCTTCAATGTCACTTTCTTAATGTCGAATTTATTTTATTTTTTTAACGCTTTTTTTTTTCTCTTTTTTTCTTTTTTTTTTTTTTTTTTAGAGACAGGGTTTCATCATCTTGGCCAGGCTGGTCTCAAACTCCTGACCTCGTGATCCACCCGCCTTGGCCTCTCAAAGTACTGGGATTACAGGCGTGACCCACCGCGCCTGGCCCTTAATGTCAAATTTAAATAGAATCTTCAAATAGATGGTTTAAATGTAGTTGAACCATAATGAATACCAGAATCCAAGAAAAGGCAAAGGTGTTAGGAAAGACAAAAAGTACCTGAGAAAGAAGATGGAACTGACCAGAGCAAAAGATTCACATTGCAAGAGTGAGAAATAAACCTACACAGGTGTTCTACAAGCATTCATTTCCTCCCTTAAGTGCAAGAATTTGTGCAATAAACTTTCAAAACATGTAAATCCCTTACTGACAAAATCCTAATGAAGGAGAAATTATCTCTCACATTCCAGATAAAAACATGCAAACTCTGAAAAGCTCAAATCCCAGAGCCAAATGGAGGCTGAAGTCAGACTCCGGCTTGCATGATTTAAAAGCCAAGCCCTTTCCACCATTATCATATAGCTTCGTAACAGACACATGCAAGGGTAGAAAGAACAGATTCAAGGGCAAGAAGTGATACAAAAGCAAATATCAGGCAAGCTGCTCACCAAAGGCTCTTGTCTGGAAATAAGGTGAGGGGCAAAAATGTCATTCCAAAGATTAATCTGGCAATATACAAGGTGGATTAGAGAAAGAGGCTGGAGGCAAGAAAACCATTGATTGCTTCCATGATGAACCATATAACTTAGCCCTTTTAAAGTACGGCATTCATGGCCGGGCACAGTGGCTCACTGTAATCCCAGCACTTTGAGAAGCAGGTGGATCATGTGAGGTCAGGAGTTCAAGACCAGCCTGGTCAACATGGTGAAACCCCATCTCTACTAAAAACACAAAAATTAGCTAGGCATGGTGGATGGTGCCTGCAATCCCAGCTACTCAGGGGGCTGAGGCAGGAGAACTGCTTGAACCCAGGAGGCAGAGGGTTAAAATCTTAACCAGTCAGCTTCCTTCCAGTGAGCCGAGATTGCACCACTGTACTCCAGCCTGGGCTACAGAGGAAAACACCATCTCAAAATAAAGTACTGCATTCTCAGTTGAGTGCAGTGGCTCGTGCCTGTAATCCCAGCTCTTTGGAAGGCTGAGCCAAGCAGATCATTTGAGGTCGAGAGTTCAAGAGCAGTCTGGCCAACACAGTGAAACCCCGTCTCCTCTAAAAAAATATATCAAAATTAACCAGGCATGGTGGCATATGCCTGTAATCCCAGCTATTCAGGAACCTGAGGCGAGATAATCCCTTGAACCTGGGAGATAGAGGTTGCAGTGAGCTATGGTTGTGCCACTGCACTCCAGCCTGGGTGAGAGCAAGACGTCTCAAAAAATAAAAATACAAATTTAGGCCAGGCGCAGGGGCTCATGCCTGTAATCCCAGCACTTTGGGAGGCCAAGGTGGGTGGATCACCTGAAGTCAGGAGTTCAAGACCAGCTTGGCCATGATGGTGAAACCCCATCTTAAATTAAAAAAAAAAAAATTTTTATATATTTATGTATATATAGCTGCATTCTCTACTAGTTTCACAAGTCACTTAACTTTCCAATGCTTTAAGGATACTTCTTTTACAAGCCCAACTGTACTGCACTAAACTTAGGAGATCCCTGATTGTCCATAATTGATCAATTAACTGAAATTACACAAGTAAACAAAAATGCCAGATGTCTGCCTACACACAATATTTATAAATCTGAATCTTATTTCACATATGGATGGAAGTTAAAGTCTTAACCGGTCAGCCTCCTTCCAGTGTTTTACCCTCCATTTTACCCTAAAAAAGGATACTCAATCAACTGTTAATGCATATTCATAATGTGAAGCTTCCAGTATCAAGAATCCAAATGGTTTTTATTAACCGTAATAAATCCAAGCTTCTGTCTTCCACATGCCTCCTTCTGTCATCTCATCTAACCTTCTATTGTCTCCAAAAGCATATAATTATGCCAGTCTCCTCATGGTAACCCAAACAGAGTAACATACACTACAGGGAAATGTTTGCTTTCCAAACTGATACTTTTTTCCATTCTCTCATTTAAATCCAACGCCCATCAAGGCCCAACTCAAAAGCTATTATTCTCCACAAAGTCCATTATATAAACCATACAAGACTTAAAACAGATTCCAAACTAGTGACTGATAAGCCACATGTGACTTGTGTTTGACCCTTTTTTTTTTTTTCAGTAAAATTCCATTCCACTGACAATATTTATAAACTTGGAGATGATGCTTTTTTAAAAATGGTATTTCCAGCCGGGCGCGGTGGCTCATATCTATAATCCCAGCACTCTGGGAGGCCAAGGCGGGTGGATCACGAGGTCAAGAGATAGAGACCATCCTGGTCAACAAGGTGAAACCCCGTCTCTACTAAAAATACAAAAATTAGCTGGGCGTGGTAGCGCGCGCCTGTAGTCCCAGCTATTCGGGAGGCTGAGGCAGGAGAATTGCTTGAACCCAGGAGGCGGAGGTTGCGGTGAGCCGAGATCACGCCATTGCACTCCAGCCTGGGTAACAAGAGTGACACTCCATCTCAAAAAAAAAAAAAAAAATGGTATTTCAAACTTTTCTTGAAAAAATTAGATGTTCTGGCAAAACTGGGATATTCTCACATAGCCACAATCACCTGTAGCTGAGTGGCAGGTGACCCCTTCTACGGGGTAATTACTCATTAACATTAACTGCCTGATCTGAAACCAAATCTTCAGCACCCGAAATCATTCAAGCAATACCTGTCTTAGGAGCCAAGCACTGTATTAGATACTGGAGTTACAAAGATAAACAAGACAAACAGTCCCTCACCCACAGTCTTGCTTAGGGATGGCAAAGAAACAAGCAATTAAGATACATGTGATAAACGCCGTGAGGGACGTGCAGGGCAGCTACGAGTATGTGGCAAGGATACCTAACTCTATGGAAGTTACGGAATACCCCTCAAGTAAAGTGACAGCTAAATTCGGATCTTTAGTAGAAGTTATCCAGAAAAAGGTAGGAGGGAACAGGGAGTTCAAATGTCCCAAAGAGAGAAAAGAGACTTTGTGAAGATACTGAGGGAAGAAAGTCCTCTGAGGAACTGAAATCAGTTCAACACCGCTAGAGCCATGCCCAACTTTAAATGCAGGGCCAGAGAAAGGGTACAACTGAAATGGCTGGCAGGAAAAGTACGTGTTATTAATAGTTAAGGTTAGGAGATGAAAAAGAATTTCACCAAAGAAGCTGAATATGTAAAATAGTTTAGGCAGGAAATAGAGGTTTCAGAAAGAACAGATGGCGTGTAGGTAGAGGCCTTAAACGGGTAAGAAACGAAAAAGCAGTGATGGCCTAAATCGAGAGGAAACACAAAGCAGATGGGAGGAGAAGACTGCACAGAAGACCAAAAGTGCTTACATCCTGGGCGGTAACCAAAGATAACGGGAATGTGAAGCATGGGAAGTCTGGCTGGCCACTAGTTTGCTGAGAAAATTCGTCCAGCGGTCCCCTATCGGCCACGGCGGCATTCAGGCCTCACAAAATTCAGCTGCGCCCTGGATAGATTGCGACTTCGCTATGGATTGACTGGAGGGCTCCAGGACAGGCTACTAGCACGCAGGCTCCCTGAGAGTGGTTAGAGGCCTGGTCTGTGTGTGCTGTTGGGTTAGAAGTATAAACTACCTTGCATTATGTTCTGATTTTTCTGTAGGAATGGTGGGCATGTTATGGCCTCTTAAAAAGCAGTGAGTGCCCATTATAGATTTACAGGAAGAAAAAAGGTGCCAAGAAGTTCCAACATTTGTCCATACCCATACAAAAGACGAGTCATTCTTTAAATCCAACTCTCCCCAAGTTGGCCTTGTCTCCCCAACTAGACTGAGAGCTCCACCAGAAAACAAAACAAAAGTCTGTTTTACGATTTATTTTGTAGTTCCCAAAGTGCCTAATAGCGAGCTGGGTACGGCGAACACCCTCAGTAAAATTACCGACTTCCTGAACGGTCTCAGGTCACTAATGTTACCTAGCTCAGTCTTCTTTTTGTATATTAAGGCGCTACAGAGAGGCGAACTTATACCTTAGACTCAACACTTTCCTTTATTTCAAACTCCACTGCGTCTCTCCACCCTCAACCGCATGGGCAGAATTGTTGCACAATTCAAACGCAGTAGGAGAATCCAGGACCCGACACAGAAAACGCCCGCCCGCTCCCCCCGCGAGTAGCCGCCCGCACGCGCTTCCCATCCAACGCTGGAAAAGGTAAAAGGCACTCACCGACTCGGGCCCTCCGGGAGACCCCGTAAACGTAGTCGCCCGCCAGCCGCCGCAATCCCTGGGTAGGCACTTCCGGCGCTCGCAATGACGTCACCGAAACGCTAGGCTCTTGGCCCGCCTTCGGGGCCGGAATTTCTAACAAGCGGGAAGAGGCCCAGCGGCTGCTACCGTTTCCTGTCCGCGCTTGACCCCTCCCAGGACTCGTGATGCCAAGGCCGCTGCGAGTGGCTACGAAGAGTCGGGGTTGAGCCCCAGCTGAGCCGAGGGCTCGCACTCTTCTGGTCTGCCAGGCCCGCCCCACCTAAAGGTAAACGCCTCCTCAGCTTCGGTTTTCTCCCCTGCGGGGCCCCTTACCCAGACTCGGCTACCAAAACGCTCTGCTCTCTCCCGCCACCCTTTTTATTTCCAGGACCTTAACTTCTGCCTCCCTTCGTAGCTCTCAGCAAAACGTCCAACGCGTAGTTTCAAATGAGAAACTTTTTAAAAGCGACCTATGTTGAGTTTTGAAGTTTTCTAAACAATTCCACTCAAAACACCAAACATCAAGCAGTTTTCTTATTCCATCGCGAATTGGCATGCCTGAGTCACTATTATTCCATTTGTGATGGTTCGTCTCCCCATCTCAAATACACACCACACGCTCTTTTTAAATCAGAAATTTGAATTTGATTGAGTCCGATATTTTCACGACAGTTTGCTGACCTTGTAAAATTAATTACTGATTGATTACATTTGTAAACTTTATATACATATACACATGTGTGTGTATATATACATAAACACATACATACAGGTCTGTTTCCTCCAGGCCCCAAACCTATTTATATAAATTAAATGTATAATTTCATAATTCGGCAATAATAAGCAAAATTAGTGTTTCGAAAGAAGTTTACATTGTCCATACGTAAAGCTTAAATTTCCTCCTTAACATCATACTAAATGGGGGAAAGAAAATTTTCCTGCTAACACCACTCCAGAGAAAAAATATTAAAACAAACAAAAAAGGTACCCAACCATAGTACAGGCATGCACAGCATAACTTTTTGGTTAACAACAAACCACATATACCACGGTGGTCTCCTAAGAGTATGACATACTATACCATATTTTTACCATACATTTTCTGTGTTTTTTAGCTACACAAATATTTACTATTGTGTTTCAATTGCCTACATTATTCAGTATATTAACATGCTATACAGGTTGTAGTAGCCTAGGAGCAATAGGCTAGACCATACAGGTTTGTCTAAGTACAATCTATGTTGCACGATTTCACTATGAAATCGTGCAACACACTCAGAACATACCTCCTTCGTTAAGTGCAGCATGACTGTTTTAGTAAAAATCTGTGGCTAAGGTTCTTTTGAGGCCCTAGGCTCCTTCTGACCTGGATGTGCAAAGTGAAGGTGTTGAACATATGCAATACATATTTGTTTATCATTTTTCTCATAGCCTGAGGGGAGGTTAGGACTGGCTTCAGGGTTTTTCCATCATCTATTTAAAAACCCTCTCTAGTCCAGCACTGAAAGTGTTAGTGTAAAGAATACTTGAAAGAAGAAGAACCAAAAAAGATTTTTTTTTTAAGTGGTGACTGGGGAAAAGGAATTCCTTAATTCAGCCTGCTGGAGTTATTGTTCCTGACTTCCTAAAATGTAAGGAAGGTAGGCCGGGCGCAGTGGCTCAGCCCTACAATCCCAGCATCTTGGGAGGCTGAGGCGGGTGAATCACGAGGTCAAGAGATGGAGACCATCCTGGCCAACGTGGTGAAACCCCATCTCTACTAAAAATACAAGAAATTAGCCGGGCATGTTGGCGAATGCTTGTAATCCCAGCTGCTCAGGAGGCTGAGGCAGGAGAATCACTTGAACCCGGGGCGGGGGGGTGCGGTAGCTGCAGTGAGCCAAGAATGTGCCATTGCACTCCAGCCTGGGCAACAAGAGTAAAACTCCATCTCAGAAAAAAAAAAAACAACTTAGCAATATCTTCAAGAACAAAGGCAAAAGAAAAAAAAAAGGGCATACAAATCTGGCATAATTAAATCAGTAATTATTAATACAGTATTGGGGATTTTTTGGTTTTTTTGCTTGTTTTTTCAAAATAATACCCAGACTGGTCTGATGTATTGGTTTTATTTGGAATTAAGAATACCTGGTTTAGGCCAGGTGTGGTGGCTTACACCTGTAATCCCAGCACTTTGGGAAGCTGAGGTGGGTGGATTACTTGAAGTCAGGAGTTCAAGACCAGCCTGACCAACATAATAAAACCCCATCTCTACTAAACATACAAAATTAGCTGGGCATGGTGGTGCATGCCTGTAATCCCAGCTACTTGGGAGGCTGAGGCAAGAGAATCGCTTGAACCCAGAAAGGAGAGGTTGCAGCCTGGGCAACAAGAGCAAAACTGTCTAAAAAAAAAAAAAAAAAAAAAAAGTCTTGGTTTAGCTTGATTGCTGATAGGTTTATTTTCACTTTTAGAAATGAGTGGTGGATTGGCTCCAAGTAAGAGCACAGTGTATGTATCCAACTTGCCTTTTTCCCTGACAAACAATGACTTGTACCGGGTAAGTAAATCTTTCTAGTGACTGCTATTTGAGATACAGATAACCTTAAGCTAATAGTTCTCCAAGGCCAAATTCTTTTTTTCTTTTCTTTTTTTTTTTTTATTCTGTCACCCAGGCTGGGGCTCAGTGACACTATCAAGGCTCACTGCAGCCTCCCCACCCCTCAGGTGATCCTCCCACCTTAGCCCCCTGAGCAGTTGGGACTACAGGCATGTGCCACCATGTCTCTACAAACTACTTGGGGAAAGTGAGGTTGGAAGATTGCTTGAGCCTAGGAGGTCAAGGCTACAGTGAGCCAAGATCACACCACTACACTCCAGCCTCGGTGACAGAATGAGACCATGTCTCAAAGAAAAAAAAGAGGCTGGATTTATTGAACATTTATTATGTGCTGAGCGTTCTTTCAGGTAGTAGAGATATATCGGTGGACAAGAAGACAAAAAGCCCTCTTGGTACCCTTGGTATAGCATGAGAGAAACAATGCAAAATACTAAAAAGTCAAATTATGTGTTAAATACTAATGAGATGCTAAGATTTTAGGTGCTAAGGAGAAATAGCCAGAAAGGTGGGCTATTAAATGTTAAGTTGAGAATGGAGGTGAAATTTTACATAGGGTGGTGGGAAATGCCATTATTGAGAAGGCGACTTTTGAATAAAGACCTGAAACAAGTAAGAGGTAGCTGTGCAGATTCTAGAGGACAAGCATTTCAGAAGAGGGGTAATCGTAGGTAAGTCCACTCTGAGTGCCTTATAGGACCTATTTACATCATGGTAAGGACTCTGGCTTTCACTCTGAGTGAAATGAGAGGCGATTAGTATTATATAGAAAACTGTACTGGCCTTTAGAGCCCAGTGTTGCTAGCACTACAATCCAGTTATATGACATTCCAGCATTATACAGCTTAATCATAGAAAAAAAATTCATTATTATTGGTTGCATATACTAACACATTCTAAAAGATTTTTTCATATAATTGGAACGCTTAGTATATGGGTAATGAGCTGGAACTGTATAAATAACGAGATTGCATAGGATGAAGTAAAAGTAACAGGAGAGCCAACTATAAAGTTCTACTAACATATTAATGGTGGGCAGAGGAAGACTGATAGAAATGGATTTTTCATTGTAAAAGCTTTTTTATAAGGTTTGTTTTTTTGTTTTGTTTTCTTAAATAAAGCAGTCTAAGGATCTGTCTTCTCAAACAGGGATTGCTTCATAGGAAGAACAAAGTAGAGGTGAGGGTAGAACTGGAATAGTGCTACTCTGTAACATCGATATTTGAAGCACAGGTGTAGCTGGCACTATGGCGGAACTGACAGTTGCCATGGGCATACCTCAGGAACACAGCAGCTATCCAGTGTGTATGCCTTGGATTTACCATATGTGTAAAGTGGGTTTTTTTCTCTGTATTCACTCCATTGTCAAGTCTGGAAACTGAGGCAGATATATGTGACTCCAATAAAAATAAGAATATTATTCTAGTCACCAAAAAAATTTTTTTTCTAGGGCTTGCCTATTTATAAATACACTGAAGGCTGAAATTTTTCATAAACTGTAACAAAGAATTTGGTCAATGTCTACAACCTAAAAATTTGATGTTTTTATGATTTTAAATTAAATTGTAAATATGTGGTCTTGTTTCAGATATTTTCCAAGTATGGCAAAGTTGTAAAGTGAGTATTCACATTAAATTTTGTACCTTCATTTAAAACTTTATCTGAATTTGCTTTTCTATTATTTTTTTTTCTATTTTTTTAATGACAGTTGATTTTTAAAAATAAAACATACTTGATATAACAAAATAATACTATTAACCTTTTTGTGACAATTTTAGTTGGTTTTCCAACTATATAAACATGTAGATGGAAAATTTTTTTTAAAGACTGTATTCCATACATGCAATTTTATTTTCTTTTTTAAATTTGATATATCATAAATGTCTTTCCATGTACTGTAAAGATATATTCTCATATCTAACGGTAAATATTTTGATTACTGGGAAATGTGTAATTACGTATACTATAAGTAGATTAACATTTTTCAAATAAATAGTGTGAAAACAAATATTTCAGTGCATCTGACTTGCAGAATGCTATGAGACGGATAAATAGAAGACATATTATCTGCCTTCAGAGAAAGCTTAGAGATAATTGGAAAGACTAGAAACATACAAAAACGATAAGGGATGATAACAGTAATTGGAGCTGAGGGTTAAGGAAGGATAAAAAGAACTTGAGGGTCTCATATTTCACTGTTTTAAATCAAGCAACTATGTTATGGGGCAAAAAAGTAAAAGCAGGATACTGTCATCCTAACTATCTTTTAACCAATATACATTCTGAGATAAAATCCCAAGAATTTCGAGCATATTTATCTTGACTAGTTTCTTCTAGTATTCCATAAATGGATGTTAAACAGTTGAAGCTTATTTGCATCTTGAAATTATTAACTTCTTTTACAGTTACTTTGCTATTAAAAAATCATTATCAGCTGGGCACTGTGGCTCACACCTGTAATCCCAGCACTTTGGGAGGCTAAGGCAGGCAGATCACAAATGTCAGGAGTTTGAGACCAGCCCGACCAACATGGTGAAACCCCTCTCTACTAAAAATACAAAAATTAGCTGGGCGTGGTGGCATACACCTGTAATCCCATCTACTCAGGAAACTAAGGCAGGAGAATCACTTGAACCCGCGATGTGGAGATTGCAGTGAGCTGAGATCACACCACTGCACTCCAGCCTGGGTGACAGAGCAAGACTCTGTCTCAGAAAAAGAAAAAATCATTATCAGAATGCTTCTGGGTAAATTTTTGGATGTTCAGATTTTGAAAAGTCACCATCATCATCAGTCCAAACATTGGTAATGATGATGGTATGTGATACTTAAATAAGCACATATATGCTAGGCATTGTTCTAATCTCTATGTTTTTTATGTATATTATTTAATTCTCATAACTGCCTTTTAAGGTAGGTACTATTGGGCCGGGCGCGGTGGCTCATGCCTGTAATCCCAGCACTTTGGGAGGCCGAGGCGGGTGGATCACGAGGTCAAGAGATCAAGACCATCCTGGTCAACAAGGTGAAACCCCGTCTCTACTAAAAATACAAAAAATTAGCTGGGCATGGTGGCACGCACCTCTAGTCCCAGCTACTCGGGAGGCTGAGGCAGGAGAATTGCCTGAACCCAGGAGGCGGAGGTTGCGGTGAGCCGAGATCGAGCCATTGCACTCCAGCCTGGGTAACAAGAGCGAAACTCCGTCTCAAAAAAAAAAAAAAGGTAGGTACTATTATCATCTCAATGTTATAAATGATTAAACTGAAGCACACAATAACCTAAGGTCATATTGCTAGCTAGTGGTGAAGAAAATATTTGAACCAACAGTCAGATTTCAGAGCCCATTCCCTTTTCCCTTTTATCTTTTTTTTGTTTTTTGCCTCTTTGTCAGAATCTCTGAATGGATATCCATATAAATATATAGTCCTAAACCATGAAAGGGCTATGGAGTTAAAGATACAGAGTTACAAGCACCTAGAAACAGGGAAGACTTGATCTAGTCTGGGGAGGCAGAGAAGGAACTAGGTCAGTATCCTTTGAGTGGAAACCTAAAGATGAGTAAGAGTTAAGTAGGCAAAAATAAGGGAGGAATATTTCAGGTAGAGGGAATACCTTATGTAAAGGCCCTGTGGCAAGAGAAAATAAAGTGAGATCAAGAAATAGAAGGCCAATGTGACTGGAGATGAGTAAGGGGAGAAAGCACAAGATGGGTCCAGAGATGGGGAAGCAGGTTCCTCATCTTGCTTCTTGGCCAGGTTACAAAGGTTATTTGGTTTTCATTTTAAGAAATCAGGAATTATTTAAGAATTTTAAGTGAGGGGTGATATAATTTAAAATTTTTAAAGTTTATTCTGGCTTAATATAGAAATTCGATTGGAGGGGAACAAAAACAAATGCAGCTGGGCATGGTGGCTCACACCTGTAATCCCAGCACTTTGGGAGGCTGATACGGGAGGATCACTTGAAAGGTCAGGAGTTCAGGACCAGCCTGGTCAACATGGCAAAACTCCATCTCTACAAAAAAAAAAAAAAAAAAAATTAGCCGGCCTTGGTGGCATACACCTGTAATCCCAGCTACTTGGGAAGCTAAGCACGAGAATCACCTAGCTTGAACCAGGGAGGCAGATGGAGGCAGAGGTTCCAATGAGCCAAGATCATGCCACTGCACCCCAGCCTGGGTGGCAGAACTTGCTGGAGGAAAAAAAAAAAAAGTAAATGCAGTGAGACCAGTTTGAAATCTAAAACCGTAGCCCAGGGGAGAAATCTGTACTAATATAGTACAGGTAGAGATACAGAGACTGTTCAGATTTGAGAAGTGGTCAGATTTCAGCCATCATTGAGGTAAAAGGGGTAATACTTAGTGATATGTATAGGAAGCAAAGTGGATAATATTTAGTGATATGCTTACTTTGTATATAAGGACTGTATGAGCAAGAAGGAGGTGTTATGGATTCTCAAAACAGGATATGCTTCATAGTATGTGCTTAAATAAGTACATCTTATACCTTGTATTAGGAAATGGTGCTACTGTCTACCTCTTTTCCCTTGCCAGAAAAATGAGAGTCACAGTAGATTTGTCCTTTTAAATCGCTGGTGTAAATTTTTTTTCTGTTACCACAGAAGGTATCTCTATCAAACTATTTATTATATGATACTGGTTTGTAGGTCTGTCTCCACCACTAAACTGTAAGCTCTTTCCTGAGGGTAAAAACAACTGTTAGTGCTTAGCACATGGGTTTGAGGCTAACAGAGTGACTGAATGACCAAATAAATGAACATAGACAGTGCATTCTTTAAGAAACTGCTTTTCCCATTTCTTTAAATCTGTCCCATTGAATATAAAGGTGTGTCTATCAATCAACATGTTAAGCTAAGCACATATGGGTTACAGAGACAGCCTTAAAGGAGTTTACATTAAAATAGATGAAATAAGGCATTGATTATGAATAAAACAATTCAGCAGAGACTAGCATAAAGGAGGAGAAATTATATCCAGTTGAAGCTATTAGGAACTGACATGTTGACCTGAACCCCTAAAGAATGAGGACAATAGGCCGGGCGCGGTGGCTCAAGCCTGTAATCCCAACACTTTGGGAGGCCGAGGCGGGTGGATCACGAGGTCAAGAGATCGAAACCATCCTGGTCAACATGGTAAAACCCCATCTCTACTAAAAATACAAAAAATTAGCTGGGCATGGTGGCACGTGCCTGTAATGCCAGCTACTCAGGAGGCTGAGGCAGGAGAATTGCCTGAACCCAGGAGGTGGAGGTTGCAGTGAGCCGAGGTCACGCCATTGCACTCCAGCCTGGGTAACAAGAGCGAAACTCCGTCTCAAAAAAAAAAAAAAAAAAAAAAAATGACAATTTTAATGAGCAATGATTCAGAAGTGAAAGAAGATAGACGCTGTGTGAACAAAGGTACAAATTTGGGGAAATACAGGCCATGCTACCGGAACATTGAGTGGTTTCTTTTGGGTAGACCTCGTAGTTTGTGTGGGAAGGAGCAGTGAAAGATGAAGGAGATGGGAGCCAAATCAAGGATGCTGACTGTGGGACAAAGAATAGGTAACTTACAAAACCAAAAATTTTTGAAGAAAGGAATCATGTGATTTTATTTATTCCTTAAGTAGAAGACTACATAAGGATGAGACAAAATTAAAAGAGAAAAAATTAGCATAAAGGAACCAATAAGAATAAGCTGTTGAAACAGTAATGCCCCGTGGACAAGAAAAAAGCAATGGAAATGGAAATGAGGCAACAGATGAGAGATCATTAATTGAGGATGATATAGAAAGCTAACACTTCTTTTGGAATAGTACTTTAAAAAAAGATGTATAACTTTCACAAACATTATGAAGAATTCCAAAATGTAAAGCAACTACCGTATTCAGTATTTCTATCAAAATTGGTTCAAACCTCTCCTGCATATTCTCATAACTGGTGCTTTGATGATAACCAGTCTAAATTTGAACCTTCTTTCCTTGGGTGCTTGCCTCTCCTTACCTTCTAAGCACATTGACTATACAGGTGTATTGTTTGAGAAACTAAACCATTTCAGTTGCCCTAAAGTATTTCAACTTGTTTCTTTTTTTAAATGACCTTAGACATCCCTTTTCTTAATACAGTGGCATCTTTATATCAGTTTCATTCCAAAGACTAATATGTACCTTAACCCAAACCCCAATAAAATAATTTTAATATGGGAAATGTTATGCTGAGTTAAATTTCTATTTATTTATTCACTTCTGTCCTATTATCTATTTTCCTGCAATTCAAACATTAGAAAATGTTAAATAAATGACCTAGGGTGTGCAAGGGCCTCCAGGACTAGGGATGTGTACGGGACAGGAGAAAGAGCAGGCTCTGTGCTCTCATAACTCTCCTTAATACTCAGGTACACCCTGGGGTGTGGTGTGACTAAAAACCACAGTACTGGAGATTCTTTTTTCCTAAAACTCTGGGTCTCATTATGTCACCTAGGCTGGTCTCATCTCCTGTGCTCAAGCATCCTCCTGCCTCTGTCTCCCAAGTAGCTGGAATTACAGGTGCTCACCACCACACTCAGCAGTGGAGATGTTTTTTCTTTTTTCCCAAAGATTCTTTAAAAGAATATTAATACACTTTTGAGACTGGGTGGCTCACAACTATAATCCCAGCACTTTGGAAGGCCAAGGCAAGCAGATCACCAGGTCAAGAGATCAAGACCATTCTGACCAACATGGTAAAACCCTGTCTCTAGTAAAAATACAAAAATTAGCTGTGCTTGGTGATGCACATCTGTAGTCCCAGCTACTCAGGAAGCTGAGGCAGGAGAATCACTTGAACCCAGGAGGTGGAGGTTGCAGTGAGATGAGATCACTCCACTGCACTCCACCTTGGTGACAGAGCAAGACCCCATCTCAAAAAAAAAAAAAAAAGATACAGTTTGATTCTAACTTAAAAAATTAGTAAATCATTTTGCTTTTTGTGAAAAAAGTATACCTTTATTTTGTTCTGTTTTGCAAGGTGAGGGAGTTAGTATGGAAGAGGGGTTATGGTTACTTTTCAAGATTCCATTGTCTCTATAATCTCTTCTCTGCTTAACTCCTAATCATAGCTGTGCTCACTTCTGTTAAATCAGTATCACCCTTTCTCATTTCCATTCTTAGTATCCCATGATTTTGAAGTGATAGCTGATTTTTCAAATGTTTGTATTAATTTTTCTTGTAAATTTTTAGCCCTTTTTTAAAATGATTTTTTCAAATATTCATATCTGTTTATTTATTGCTGCCTCATTTTTAACTCTTTGTTTATGCTTTAAGGGTTACCATAATGAAAGATAAAGATACCAGGAAGAGTAAAGGGGTTGCATTTATTTTATTTTTGGATAAAGACTCTGCACAAAACTGTACCAGGGCAATAAACAACAAACAGGTAAGCTGTTCATCAAAGTTTTCAGCCCCAAAGCCTTTATGCTCATCCAGACCAAAAATATGGGGATGTAATGGATCATTAGATTGGATCATAGGTATCAGTAGATTCTTAAGATATCTAACTAATGGAAAGAAAAGTGTTCAAAACTGTACTGGGCTCTCAAAACATTGGTGGAATCTGAGGAATAAGAACACTACAGAATAGAATTTATCACACCAAAGTGGCAATTGCTAAAATAATCCAAAATAAACTGGAATCGAAGATTTGAGAAAATTGGATTAAATAATTAATTTTAGGTTTCAGTGAATACATTCTGCATTTACATTTTTCTCTGGTTTAGTTATTTGGTAGAGTGATAAAAGCAAGCATTGCTATTGACAATGGAAGAGCAGCTGAGTTCATCCGAAGGCGAAACTACTTTGATAAATCTAAGTGTTATGAATGTGGGGTAAGTAAACCTAAAACTTAATGGAACTTTGCATAGTTTAAGATACTTTTCACATCAATCTTTTATTTTTGCTCACCAAAACTTCTTACTGGCTAAATCAGGTGATGAAAATTGCTTTATTTTTAGAGATTCATTTTTTTGAGACAGGGTCTTCCAGTGTCACCCAGGCTGGAGTGCAGTGGTGCAATCACAACTCACTGTAGGCTCCACCTCCCGAGCCCAAGTGATCCTCCTACCACATTGTCCAAGTAGCTGGGACGACAGGCATGCACCATCATGCCCTGCTAATTTTTAAAAATTTTTGTAGAGGCAGGTTCTTCCTGTGTTGCCCAGGCCAATCTCAAACTTCTGGGCTCAAGCAGTCCTCCCACCTCAGCATCCCAAAGTGCTAGGGTTACAGGTGTTAGCCACTGTGCCTGTAACCCTAGTTGGGCCTAGTTGTTATACTTAGGTACTCTAAACTCATCTAAGTGACTGCAGTTGAAATACAGTGTGTAAAGATAACCTGAGTTCGGTAGTACAAAGTGGTATTTCCTCTAGTTCTAAATCTTTGAAAATCACCAGTTTTAAAAGTGTTTGACTTTTTAACTTACTTTTTAAAATTTTATACTTAGGTATTGCCTTGAAAGATTTTAGTAACTCATAACTTCTTGTTAATAGGATATTGCCTGTTTCTGTAACAGGTTTTTTTTTGAGACGGAGTTTCGCTCGTTACCCAGGCTGGAGTGCAATGGCACGATCTCGGCTCACCGCAACCTCCGCCTCCTGGGTTCAGGCAATTCTCCTGCCTCAGCCTCCTGAGTAGCTGGGATTACAGGCACGAGCCACCATGCCCAGCTAATTTTTTTGTATTTTTAGTAGAGGCAGGGTTTCACCATATTGACCAGGATGGTCTCCATCTCTTGACCTCGTGATCCACCGGCCTCGGCCTCCCAAACAGTTTTTAAGTATCACAGTTCAGTACCAATATTATCATGTGGCCTTATCCTCTATGGAATAGTGTGTTTTGAAGTTTTTAATTTTTATTGCTAGTATTTTGTAACTGAACTATCCCCACATTTTCTTCTTTGGTTCGCTTCATGATCTGTCATTATCCATTTCAAGTTTTGGTGGTGAGGAGAGATAGCCATAAACAATTTTGTATAAGATCTGTATTGGTACCAAGAGAATTTTAATCTGGTTCTCACAGCTCTAAGTTTGTAAAATGACCATATAAAATACTTAAGAAATAAGCCAGGCACAGTGGCTCATGCCTCTAATCCTAGCACTTTGGGAAGCTGAGGTGGCGGATCACTTGAGGTCAGGAGTTTGAAACCAGACTGACCAGCATGTTTAAACCCCATCTCTACTAAAAATACAAAAAATTAGCCAGGTATGGTGGTGAGCACCTGTAAATCTAGCTCCTTGGGTGGCTGAGGCAGGAGAATCACTTGAACCTGGGAGGTGGAGGTTGCAGTGAACGGAGATGACTTCACTACCCTCCAGTCTGGGTGACAGAGCACGACTCTGTCTCAAAAATAAAATACTTAAAAAACAGAGTCCAGAGGTAGTTATGGGGAGCTGGGGAGAAAATCACTGAGATACCATCCTGGCTAGAAGATCATATGGAAGATTCAGGGAAATGCTTAAGGTCCTCTACCCCACTGTCACTCCCCATACCCTCCACCAAAAAAGATACCTAAATAAACAGACTCATGGATGAATAGAAAGAGTGAGCAAGCAGTTGCTTAGATACTGATTCTGTCAGTTCCTATGATCCTAAAACCTCTTAAGTAAACACTTTAGAAACTTTTCCAAAGTCCTGAGTTTTGTAACAGAAAGAAAGGGAGGGAGGGAACATAGTTATACTCAGATTAGTATATATCTTCATATTCACAGTAAATATTAAATTATCTGAGAAATATTAGATGAATCTGTTAATCAGTTACTTTTCATTTATGGATCCATAGAGTTGTTATATTTTTTACATTTTATATTTAATCTCTCTCCCTTCAAAAAAACCTATATATATACCTAGCCTGGTTTTGCTCAAAGTTACTTCATTAAATCCTTTTTAAGTATTTGACATGTTAATATTTTTTGCTATATTATTTCAAAACACAGCTTCAGATATGCTTCTCTAACTATATTTTCTCAGCAGCTTATTAACAGTAAGCAACCTTTCTTAGGTTGAGCCATGTCCTAGGTATACAAAGTACACAGTTTGTCTGCTCTGTCAAATACACTGGAAAGGTATGATTATTGTTCCTTTCTATCGTTCTAACTTTGGCTCAGTCTCCACACCCTACCCTGGCATAACATCTTAAATGTAATTGTAGTGAGCTGATGTACAGATTATAATTGAGCTTTTAAGTTTTACAACTCAATGTTCTAGCTAAGTAGGAATAATAGTCTACTCCAGCATTGTCAAATAAGAATATAATGCAAGCCACGTATGATACTAAGTCTTCAGAAATCCAATGTGTATTTTATCTTTACAGCGTATATCAATTCAGACAAGTTCTCAGTAGCCACATTGGCTGGCTAGTGGCTACTGTAATTGGATAGTACAAGTGTAGTCAGGATGTGAAAAGAAAAAAAATGAAAGTAATTAACAGGAAAAGTGACAAAGACATTTTCCATTTTTTTGTTTGTTTGTTTTTTGAAACAGAGCCTTGCTCTGTTGCCCAGGCTGGAGTGCAATGGCACCATCTCAGCTCACTGCAACCTCTGCCTCCTGGGTTCAATCAATTCTTGTGCCTCAGCTCCCTGAGTAGCTGGGACTCTAGGCATGTGCCGCTAAGCCCAGCTAATTGTTTTGTTTGTTTTTTGTTTTTGTATTTTTAGTAGAGATGGGGTTTTACCATTTTGGCCAGTCTGGTCTTGAACTCCTGACCTTAGGTGATCTGCCCACCTCAGCCTTACAAAGTGTGAGGATTACAGGTGTGAGCCACTACACCCAGCCAATTTGTTTTATATCTTGAATTTTTAGATTTAAAATGTTTGAGAGAAGCCTGCTACTTCTACTCGTAGTAAAACTACTAAATAGTCCTAAATGTTAAAATAACTGAGAGGTTTAATATCACCTTGTAAATATTTAAGTCCTGGGTTTTATCATTAATGTCTTCTGTATAGTCCCAGTATGGGAATATGCTTTTTTAAATTCAAAATCCTTTTAGTGTTAGGGTAGCAGGCAAATTTTTGTAAATAACAGCAACAAATACAGTGTTTGTCCTTTTCTTTTTTATGGAAAACAAAAGGAAAGTGGACACTTAAGTTATGCCTGTCCAAAAAATATGCTTGGAGAACGTGAGCCGCCAAAGAAGAAAGAAAAAAAGAAAAAAAAGAAAGCTCCTGAACCAGAAGAAGAAATGTATGTATATTACCTTTACTAAATACATTATCAAGTTGCTTTTGTCTTTTTACTATTGGTTGGTTACATTCCGATTTGTTTTTCTTCATTTAAGTGAGGAAGTAGAAGAAAGTGAAGATGAAGGGGAGGATCCTGCTCTTGACAGCCTCAGTCAGGCCATAGCATTCCAGGTATTAAATAGTTAAAAGGCATCATGCAATAGCTGACTTGGTTTATAGTCCTTGCTTGCTTCATTGATCACTTCACGGCAACCTCTGTTTCTCCTCTTAACCTTGTAAGCTTTGGGAGACAGGCTGTTTCTCTGAAGTACTTAGAGCAGTGTGAATGAAAAGTTCCCATTGGTTCTTCCTAGATTTTAAGGGCCCCACAACATTTAACTATCTTAATCTGTTTTGATTAAAGAAATGACCAGAACAGTTTGCTCAAAGTGAATGCAGCCCAACAGAAAAGATTTTTTTTAGAAACTGCCTAGGATAATTTTGAGTAAGATTGTGAGATGGGACAGAACTCTGGAGAAGGGAGCAGATCTTATTGTTTGCATGGACTAGGAGGGTGGGAAGTAATGGCATTTGTGGCATGTTTTTGCTATGCTTTGAATTAATTAACCATAAATAATATTAAACAGGCTATTGGTTTTTTTTTTTTTTTTTAATCACATTATAGCAAGCCAAAATTGAAGAAGAACAAAAAAAATGGAAACCCAGTTCAGGAGGCCCCTCAACGTCAGATGATTCAAGACGCCCAAGGATAAAGAAAAGCACATATTTCAGTGATGAGGAAGAACTTAGTGATTAAAATCTTACCCTAGCACAGTAATAAAAATCAAGATTTGTTAATAACAATCTTGAAGAGCTAATTTTAATAAAAATAAGAAAAGTTAATACTATCATGTTAATCCTATTGTCATCTTAAGAAAAAAGATATTTTAAAAATTTATTTGAAAAGTTCATCATAAGGGCTTTATTCAAATCTGATTTGTTTACATGAGGACTTTTGAAATTTAATCCTTAAAAACTTCCTGAAGACCGAAAAGTTGAATGATTTATTGTTACTTATGTTAATAAACTTTTCAAGATAATTTTGTCTTTAAATATGGGTGTTTTGTCATCATATTTCTTGTAGCCTTAACCAATCTGGATAAATTGTAAATACCTATAAAATGCAAAGTAACATAGCTCTAAAAGGGTTAAAATCAAACACAGGTGTTATTTGTCTGCGCTACCCATAGCACCAAATTCCATTCCCTAGAATAAACTATTCATATGTGCACACGTTGCTAAATAAAATACATATATCTCTGTCACTTAATAAAAGGATAAAGGAGAATTATTCAATCTCATATACTTCTCCTACCTTCCTCAATCTTCCCAATGTGGCTGTGTTAAAAATTTTGGGGAAATTTGTATGTATTTTTTTTAATGACAATATAAATACTTTTCACTTCTGAACCAAGGAGTATGCTGTGATTGCATTTTTCCTAGAGTTAATAACTGTCTATTTTTTTCCATGTTATCTTTTTTGTATTTATGACTAAATCGTCCCATTCTGTCTACAGGTGGTTATATGGGAATGGGATTAGAGAGCCTTTAATTTTCTACTTTGTATATTTCTATATTGTTTAACTTTGTAAGAACACCCACTTTTTAACAGTAAAAGCAATAAAAGTTAATACTATCATAGTAATACTATTATTGTCATCCCAAGAAAAAATATATTAAAAAGATTTATTTAAAAAGTTCATTATAAAGGAATGAAATGTGAATCTATCGCCTTAAAAAAAAATGAAAAGCAGGACCGGGCGCAATGGCTCACGCCTGCAATCCCAGCACTTTGGGAGGCCGAGGCGAGTGGATTACGAGGTCAAAGAAATCGAGACCATCCTGGTCAACAAGGTGAAACCCCGTCTCTACTAAACATACAAAAAATTAACTGGGCATGGTGGCGCGTGCCTGTAATCCCAGCTACTTAGGAGGCTGAGGCAGGAGAATTGCCTGAACCCGGGAAGCGGAGGTTGTGGTGAGCCGAGATCGCTCCATTGCACTCCAGCCTGGGTAACAAGAGCAAAACTCCCTCTCAAAAAAAAAAAATGAAAAATTCATTATAAACCTTTATTCGTGTTTCCACTTTGAAAACCACAAACACAAAGTGTTAACTACGCACCAGCAAAGAATAGAATCTTCTAGATCTCAGCAAACCAGACAGAAGGATTGCATGCAGTACTCAGCTGCCTGTTTGGCCATTAATTAGTCAAATACCAGAACAGGTTTTTTTTTTTTAATTTTTTTAAATTTAATTTATTTACTATTTTTTGAGACAGAGAATCGCTCTGTCGCCCAGCCTGGAGTGCAGTGGCACGATCTCGGCTCACTGCAACCTCCGCCTTCCAGGTTCAAGCGATTCTCCTGCCTCAACCTTCTCTTCATATGGTGGCAGAGATGACCACCATTATCTCTAAACCTAGGAATCCCAACAAAGAAATACACCTTTCCAGTGGTCCCAGCAAAAGTTCCAAGAAAAGCCCTGATTGGCTAGGTCTCTGTCACAGTCCCCCATTCTTAGAAATAGGTAGTCAGTCCCACCCAAACTACATCAAGTGAAAGTGTTTCTCTGCAACACGCTATCTGTTGTCAATGTGGAAATTACCCTTCCAAAAGAATCCAAAGCTTGAAAACCACCTTTCAGTATTTCCAAGGGCAGAATACTGAGACAGCCGAGCAGGACCCACAAAGATTCAGGCCGGGCATAGTGGCTCACGCATGTAATCTCAACACTGGGAGGCTGAGGCAGGTGGATCACCAGAAGTTCAAGACCAGCCTGACAAACATAGTGAAACCCCGTCTCTACTAAAAATACAGAATTAGCCAGGCATGGTGGTACATGCCTGTAGTACCAACCACTCGGGAGGCTGAGGCAAGAGAATCACTTGAACCTGGGAGGCGGAGGTTGCAGTGAGCAGAGATTGTGCCACTGCACTCCAACCTGGGCGACATAGTGAGACTCTGTCTCAACAACAAAAAAAAGTATAATACTGCCTTATCAACTAAATGAAGGTGGCTTTTTTTTTTTTTTTTTTTTGGAGACAGAGTCTCCCACTGTCACCTGGGCTGGAGTGCAATGGTGCAGTCTCGACTCACTGCAACCTCTGCCTCCCAGGTTCAATTGATTCTCCTGCCTCGGCTTCCTGAGTAGCTGAGATTACAGGCGCACACCAACACACCCAGCTATTTTTTGTAGAGACAGCGTTTCACTATGTTGGCCAGACTGGTCTCAAACCCCTGACCTCGTGATCCGCCCACCTCGGTCTCTCAAAGAGCTGGGATTACAGGTGTGAGCCACCACACCTGGCAGAGAAGGTGGTTTTAAATTTCATTTTACATACATAAGCATAACAATTTGTTTTATTCTATCTTAATGATTTTTCTGGAGGTGGAAATATTCCTGGAATAACCAACAAAGTTTAAAGTTAAAAGAGTAAATATATTATGCGCTAGTGCTTTCTTTAAAAAATTTAATAATAGGGATTTTCCCCCTCTGGGGTCCCCTTCCACCCTTGTGGAAGCTGCTTTTCCTCTCCCAAACTCCCATCTCTCTCTCTCTCAATTCCCTTCCACTCAGTGTGGAAGCTATCTTTCCTCTCCAGGATTCTATCTTTCTGGATTCTCTCACTCAATGTGAGAGTTAGCTATTTCTTTCTCTCCTCCTTTTTCTCTCTCTCTGTCTAAATAAATCACTTTCTGAAAAAAAAATTTAATAATAATTTCCACTTGGAAGTGTAATGAGATCTCAGACTTACCTGTCTAAAGCTGAACTCCTGGTGTTCCAAACCAGCTATACAACCCCACCTTTTTCCATTTCTATTTGTTTTGTTTTGAGACAGAGACTCACTCTGTTGCTCAGGCTGGAATGCAGTGACACCATCGTAGGTCACTGAAGTCTTGACCTCCCAGGTTCAAGTGATTCTCCCAACTGAGCCTCCCAAGAAGCCAAGACTACAGGTGTGTGCCACCACACCCAGCTAATTTTTTTTTTTTTTTTGGTAGGGATAGGGTTTCCCTACATTGCCTAGACTGGTCTTGAAATCCTGGGCTCAAGCAATCCTCCCACCTCAGCCTCCCAAAGTGCTGGGATTACAAGTGTGAGCCACCATGCCCAGCCTACATTTCTGTTAATGTTAACTCTATTAGCTCAGGCCAAAGAATTTGGAGTTATCCTCGTTTCTTTCTTTTCCTTTTTTTTTTTTTTTTTGAGACAGAGTCTTGCTGTGTTGTGGAGGCTGGAGTGTAATGGCTTAATCTCAGCTCATTGCAACCTCTACCTCCTTGGTTCAAGCGATTCTCCTGCCTCAGCCTTCCAAGTAGGTGAGACTACAGACACCCACCAATGTGGCTGGCTAATTTTTTTTTTTTGTATTTTTTTTAGTAGAGACAGGGTTTCACTATGCTGGCCAGGTTGACCTTGAACTTTGAACTCGTGATCCACCCACCTAAGCCTCCCAAAATGCTGAGATTACAGGCATGAGCCACTGCACCAGGCTGTTTCCTCTCTTTTTCTTATACCCCCCACATCTAAGTCACAAGCTGTTGGCTCTGTCTTTAAAATATGCTCAGATATATGGAGTTAATCTACTGCAATTACCTTGGTGGAGGACACTATCTCACTAGAATTACTGCAATTCCTTTTTTTTTTTTTTTTAATATAAGACAGGGTGTTGCTTTGCCACCCAGGCTGGAATGCAGTGGTGCACTCATGGCTCACCACAGCCTCAACTTCCTGGGCTCAAGTGATTCTACCACCTCAGCCTCTCAAGTAGCTGGGACTACAGGTGTGCACCACCATACCTGGCTAATTCGTGTATTTTTAGTACAGATGGAGTTTTACTATGTTTCCCAGGCTGGTCTTGAACTCCTGAGCTCAAGTAATGTGCCTGTCTCAGCTTCCCAAAGTCCTGGGATTATAGGCATGAGCCACTGTGCCCTGCCTGCCATTGCCTCCTAATCCTTTTAAAAGTAAGACAGATATAACCCTCCACTCAAAAGTCTCCCCTGGATTTTCATCCTCCCCGGAGTTAAAACTAAAGTTTATCTGGGCATGGTAGCTCACGCCTGTAATCCCAGCACTTTGGGAGGCTGAGGCAGGTAGATCGCAGGGTCAGGAGATCGAGACCATCCTGGCTAACACTGTGAAACCCTGTCTTTATAAAAAAAATTTTTTTTTCAAAAAATAAAAAAAAACAACAATTTTTAACAATGACCTAGACATAAGGTCACAAGAGAAGGGCTCTGTCTCTCTCATCCCATCACCTACAGTTCACCTCCTAGCCACTCTGGCCTCCTTACTGTCTCACACTCACCAGGCAGGCAGGCACCCACCTCAGAAATTTCCCAATAGCTGCTCTGTCACTTTGAACATTCTTCCTCCTGGTATCCCTCCCTCCCTCTCTTTCTTCCTTCCTTGCTTCCCCACAACTACCCCCATCCTGTCAGTGGGTCAAGATAGCCAGGGGGAGACCTACGTTAGTTCGATCTAAATAATTACAAGCTTGCTTGGCTCAGAGTACACTGAAGTTTATACACCAAACTCAACTATATTATTGGTGCAGTTAATTAGAAATCAAGCTGCAACAGGAGGCCTAAGGTAAAGACCCTCCGAGAGCACAGCAACACCAGGGAACACCTCGGGGTGGTCGCAGAGCAGGCAATACTGCTCTGGTCCCAAGAATGCCTTCTCAACATGGAGACCGCATGAGGGTCTCCTAAAGAGGGCTTGTGCAAAGATCTCTGAGAAGGGAGGCAACCTTTGCTCGCCTCCTTGCCAGCTCCCATCCGCAAGATCCGGGAGGGTCTTTGCAGATGGGAGCTGGCAAGGAGAAAAGCCTTGCAGGGCAGAGATCACGGAACGCCTCAGGCTCTGCCCAGGTTCTTGGAATATAGAGTAATTTTAATTGCTCTATGTCCTCGGTGCTCGGGAGATAAAAAGCCCCTTGATGCACTGGGTGTGGTCAGACCCCGTGGCTCCTCATCTGCTATACTTCTGATGCAGCTGCACCCTGATAACAATCAGTGATAAACTCAGAGTGCCAGTTTAGCATGTG